CGGGCAAGGGTGGCTGCGCGGGGTTTCTCCGCTTGCGGCAGAGAGTGGGCAGCCGGGGGCCGTCCCGCGTCCGGAGCCGTCAGGCGGCCTGGAGCGGGGGGCCGCGTTGTCGTGTTTTCAGGGTAAAAACACAAGAAGCAGACGATTCCCCTCCCTCCCTCTCTCCCCCGGTAAGGTGACTAATGATGAAGCGTTACTAGCGTTCAGATTTAAAACAATTCATTACCAATTTTCCTGTCTGAGGTTGAAGCTCTAGTAAATAATAAATCAGTTAAAAGTCGACTTTAATTTATTGTCCCAGCGCTAATTAGAAACATCGTTTAAGCAATAAACTTAAACGCTTCCAGCAAATAATGCATGTGAAACCCCTGTCTCCCGTGTCTGGGCGTTTGTGGCTGCGCTGCTTTAAGACCAGCTTCATCTGTGGCGGAATTTGCTCTCGCCGGGATGAATAATTGAAGGAGGAGTAGGATCCGAGGAGGCTATAATTGAAGAGCCCTTGTCACCTCGGCTGTTATGTATGTTAGTGCAGAAGTCCATCAGCAGCTCCTTGACGGTGTGTAAAACGGAGTGGCGGCCCCTCCAGCAGCGGGAGATACTGTATTCCATTAAAGAGACCGTGTGCGTGTGTGTGCCGCAGAGAGGGAAACTCTCGGGCTAAAAGCCACTTGAAGTCTGCAGACCGATTGATCTGTATTCTCTCGTTATAATCCGTCTCATCATACTTGAGTTAATGAGGCAGGGGCGGGGGTGATCTGATGGTCCTTGACAAATTCATTAGGGAGGCTGCGGGACATTTTATTTGACTGTTAAACATCGTGTTTGTTTGGTTTAAGCGCTGCCAACATCAGCATGCCGCTGCCTGGAGCAATAGTGTTTTGTTAGCGAGGGCTCGGTGTGAATCCGGGCGCGTACACACGGTACGTGCAGCGGGGTTTTCTTCACGCTAAGGACGGCGGAGTAGAAGCGAAGGGCTGTTACTGAATGTGCAAAGACTTTTTGGTTTTTTTTCTCCTTTTTTTTTTTTTTTTTTTTTAAGAGAATGCTATGCATTTGTATTAACCTTTAAAAAACAACAGCAGAAGATTGGAGAACAACTCAAGAGTTTTAGCAAGAAGCACACAAGTTTCTTACTGTGTTATGATGTAACACGCTTACGTTTGCTTGCCTAACCAGCTTCTCAAAGTGGCATACGTTTCATATTTCTGAGCTTTTATATTCTGAACACTGCATTCTAAAGTTTCTACAATATGCTGCTGTTACAAGGTGTAATATTTCAAAGTTTAATCAAATTTACTTGAGGCATTAAAGGATTTCTATCAAATCTGCCTTCTTCTCTCCCTTTCCCCTTGCTGAGAGGAGAGGGAAAAGTGAATGCAGGAACAGGTGCTCCCGAAAGGAATACAAAGTATTTTTATGAATAGCATACAAAATACGTATGTGTATGTGTATGCTTTGTTCATGGCAGCTTTGTAGATGAGCTAGCAGTTCGTTATTTTCTAGCAGTTGGTTTCCTCTCTGTCCTTTCATTTAAGGGAAACAGTTTTGCAGAAAACACAATAATGAATCTGCTCATGGAACCTAACATCGTAATTTTTTTTTCCTGGAGATCAGTCTTCAAACATTCTCAGCTTTAAGTGCTTTGTAGGACTCTGCTTCCATTTATAGAAGAACAGTATGGGAAAAGAGCTAGTGCCCTTTGCCTGTCATTTTCATACATTCCTGCACTGCTGATGGAGCTTGAACTGCTGCAGGGAACGTATGGATTTGAAAAGAAATGATTCAGTAATGCATGTTGTGTTTCTCCACAGCAAAACCCGGTTAATAGTTACAGTAAACGCTGCTGTGGGTTTGGCAGATAAAATTCTGTTTACATTCAACAGTATACACTGTGTACCTTTTTTTGAAAGTCATGGCTTGGCCTTATTATCTGCTGATCTGTTCAAAGGACTGTATTTGTAAAGTTAGTTGACAATGCATACCGGTGGAGAAAAGATGATTTCGTTTCTACGCATGTCATTAATGCATCTCATCAGTTAAGAGTCTTGCATAAATCTTGTACTTTTTTCCATGAAGACTGAACAGTATGGTAATGAAATAATTTATACATGTTTCTAAGTCTCCCCTAGCTTTCATTTCTGGAGCGGGAAAGGGGAGGTTTCCAACTACTCCTTTAAGTACCTTATTTTTGCTTTCCTGTTCAGTCTTAAAATGTGAATGTGTTCGTATTCTGGTGTTTAACCATGGGCAACCTGCAGCTGAAGGCTTTCTCTCATGCTTTGAATCTTGTGTTAAAGGTAGCTGCTTGTCTTTTCTCGTGATGACTCATGGTGACTTCTTTCAGCTGCAACATTGCTTTGGATACTAAATACTGTTTTCTAAGTTTGCCTCCAGCAAGTTTGCAATCAGGGAAAATCGGACATATGGACTAGAAAAGAATGTTCCTAGTGCTTTTGTACCATTGTCTTCTTGTTAAAACTTCTTGTGGGCCTTTTGTTTTGTTTGGATGCAGATGGGGTAGGTGCATTCTATTTTATCCAGTAGAAATAGCCAAATTTATCTGTGTTTACAATAATTGATAAATTGCATTAATAGCATCC